GGATTTTGTAAACTTTTAATTCTAATCAAACAAAGTTATTTGCAAGGTAGAATATAGTCATCAAATTCTTAATAAAGCCTCTTCATAGAAGTTAAGATGACTTGTGCATTTATTAGATTAGTCGTCTTTCCATTTAAAGCTGACCTGCTTCTGTTTAGGAGGTCAGAGGATCTATAATGAGGAAGTATCTGACATCACCAACAAGCGACTGGGTGATGGATGGGAAGGGATTCTGCCTCTGTCCTACAAGAAACAGGACATCCTCTTCCTGCCCGGCGACTATGTGGGGCCGGCGGAGACGTCCCAGAGGCACGACAACCTCAGCATCAACTGGTGTCTTGGAGATGAAGACATCGAAGTTCTGGACAGCAGCAAAGGCGTTGTCGTTGAAGGGTGATGTCGTCTTTTTGTTCTCACCGTTGGATAAAAGAAATGGGACGTTATTATTAATGCCCTCCTGTAGCTTTCCTTCCTGAAGTTACTACCTGCTAGTGGATGTTGGCAGAAGGCTGTACTTGTTTTACTGGTCCTGTATGACCCGCGGCGCCTGCCGTCTTCCCACTGACAGAACCAGATCGGCCACTTCTCACACATTATTCTGCTGCTTGTCCAGCTTTACTCCATTAGGCTCTACAGTTAACCTGGAGATGACACCAATAGGAGGCGCTAGCAAACCCCGGGAATCTCATGTCCTGCAAAAATACAAAACCTTACCACATAATTTTGGTCTAGTTTCTAATGTAAAAACCTCTGTACAGTTTAAATAAGTCTAAGCTATCTTGCCTAAGTAAATAATTGATTGATATTGGTGAACAAGTTCTAGTCTAGTAATTTCACTTATAACAAGACATTTTTTCCATGTTCCAAGTGCAATAATCTGCCAATGGAAATTACACTTTTTCATTAATGTTAAGGAATTATTCACTTAAAAAAAGCTCCTAAATCTTGCTTAAAAGTTATTTGTAAGTTAGTTATTTTTATTTAAAGTGTACTAAGATGTTTAAACTACAAACTAGATCCACATACTTGGTAGAATCTTGTGTTCTTTGCATAAAATAAAAAAAATTATAATTTATTCTTTTAGAAGTAATGCATCCAGCGATGGAAATCTATTAATTTGCTCTTTGTTCAGCAGTTTGAATACTCCACCATAGTCCAAACCACCTGAATGCACCAAAACCGATTAATCCTAGCTGCCATTTAATGACCTTCATCTGTTCTGTTGTGTATACATGTTTAAAAAATTTACAAAGTATCTGAAATTAAAGCCTTAAAATGGCATCTTCACTCACTGACTCGAGGCGGTTAAAGCTACTATTAAGAAGCTGCTATTGCTTGCTAGCTCGCTAGTTTGTTTGCGTCTTTTATAGATAAGTGTAAATTTATCTGCTGGCTGATGTTCATCCTTGCTACTGGCTCACTTCTGTTGCCAACCCATACAAAGCTCGATGCTTCCTGCGCAGAAGAGTTTGGCACTGATTGGGTTAAGGCTTTAGAGAGCCATATGCCATGTGGAAAGCACAAAGCTGCTGCCAAGAGCTGCAGAAAAGCCCCAGACATTTTACAGTTTGTCTCCTAAACAAAATGATTTGCTTTGTACTTGTCTGTTGTGATACAAGTTGTAAATTTTATTCATAATGGTTTTAAAGACTCTTAAAATACAGTTGGTGAAACTCTATTTAATAAGAAATAAATAAATATTTTTTTAATTTAGCCACTATATGTATGTAGGGACCTGCCTCACTACTTTGGTTTGTTTGTTTGTTTGTTTGTTTTTTGTACGTTTACATTTACTTATTGACTGACAGAGGTTTGACAAATGAGATAATGTATTAGGGACCTTTTGGACCAAAAGAAAACTGAATTTAATCCAGTAAAATCCTGATGAAACATCTCTAAAGCAGTTCATTGTTTCTTTTTAAACTTTTTCCTTATTGTATGGACACTTTTGGTATACATTATTTTTCTATAGTTGCATAAAACTTTAAATATTTAACAGTGTGAATAGAAATATCAATGTGAACATTCTAAATGTAACAAAATAGTTAATGAAGATTATACATTTATGATGAAAATAATAACCACAATAACACATAATAGAAAAAATTAATAAGTAAAAATGCATTGTAATAAAAATATTCAATACCTGTTCTAATAAAACCAATAACTTATTATAGATTGTAGGCCTGCCGTATTCTGCTACTAGAGTTTGTTCTAATATATGGCTGCGGTTTCTTATTCTTATCTACGTTTTAAAAAAGTCATAATGGTCTCCTCGTTGGGTTCCACTTCATTTCTTCCAGCCACAGTAAGTGCTGCCTGCAGGAAACCTCCTCTTTTCTTATTCAGCTGGAGAAACGCCACACGGCGCTTTAATACTGTAAAAGTATTTCAACACCCCGATGTGCTGGAGCAGAGGCATTTTTCTTTCAAATGGAGGTTGAAGACATTAAGAATTGTGCCCTAAATGTGACACTGCATTTAATGCAGTTATGATTGTAGTCTTTAGGCAAAATCAAGCTCCCATTTCATCACTCTGTCCTCTAACAGCATTAGAACAAGCTTATTACTGCTCTGCTAATACCTGACTGGAAATATTAATATTTCTTGTGGTCTAATTTGTTTCCTAGCTCTCCTTCTGTGAATGGGCCCAGCTTCACCAGCAGACTTTGCAAGAGAGCCCTCTACAGTTATTTCCAGCGAGTTGCACTGCTGGGTGGGCACAGCTACCTGGTGGAGCTGCCCACCTACCACAGCGTCAAGGTGACTGGACTGCTCTCAGATTTTGTGCTGCTATTCTGATGTCATTAAAAGTGATAATAAGAATTATTTATTTATACTGAAACTTGACGTCATTAACAGTGATTGTGTTTTTTGATCATTTTACGGCCATAAAATAAATAAATTGTGGTTTATCTTGTGAAGTTTTAGTCAATGGGAAATGGAGAGTTCCTCCTTAACCCATTTACGCCTGAATTTCAAATGTCTGCCTATATATTTCTTCCTTATTTTAATTGTAATTATTTAAATGTCCTGTGAGATGATATATTTACCCATTTATCCTTAACAACTGGAACTTTCAATATCCAACACATTATTTTCGCAATTTACCGTCTATTAAACGAGTGACCCCCTGGATTAATTTCATTCTCTGCAGCTGCAGCTGTGAAATTACCGTATTAACCCAATATTGGCTGGAAAGTGCAACGTCTCCCCTTTCAGAATTTTTCAGATAGCGCCAAGTGTGGCGGAATTACGGTACTGCAAATTTGGATGTGTCGCCGGCGACATGTTCCGGTTTAGAAAGGTTAATGAAAACGTAATTTTGTTCAAGTACATTCGCTGAAAATCTTCAATTATGAATGGAGTGAATGGCTTTAATGGTTTGAAAATTCACTTAATGTCTTTAGGAAATAAGTACAGTTGAAGGAAAGTTTAAAAGTGAGGGCAGGAAAGCACAACACTGTAAACTGGTACTATTGTATTTAGGATTCATATGCTGTTCATATGATTCCCAGCTGGTATCTGAAAGGACACTGAATGTTTTGTGTTGGTTTTTTTCCACAGGTGGAAGCTACCATCTACCAGACGGTGAAAGATCTGATCAAGCAGCGCTTCCTGAGCAACCAGGCCGGACCCTGGAATTCAAAAAAGCTGGTGGATTGCTTCAGCGCTTAAACACGTCTCTACAAACGGGGTTAGAAGTTTATTGAAGCTCATCCCGAGATTGGAGTTATTGTTCTTTTTTTAGTGCTTTTATTTGCATGTTAGTTTGAAAAGTAATTGTTTTGTTTGGTTGTTTGGCACTGGAGCTTTCAGTTTGTGTAGGTGTTTATGGAAAATAAACAAGAGCCGACTGTTTGCAGAAGAAATCAGTTTGCTTGATTTGTGGGTGGAAATGCTTTACTTAAAGGCTCAGGTTTAAAATGGGGAAGATTTTCTCTGCCGTGTCGGGAATGAAACATTATTCCTCAGTTGATCTGCAGGAAAAGCTGACAGGATGACAAAGATGTTCGATCGTTTACTTTCAATTTTGAATATTCGAATATATTAAAATATTTTGAAGGTTGTAATTGTGAAAACGGTTCCATCATAACAAAATGCAGCTGCAGCTCAGTTGATTAGGGAATCATTGAAGCATTTATTTGCTCTCTGAAAACTGTTGGTACAAAATACCGTTTATTCACCGTCGTCTTTTTGCATGAAGTGCTGCATTGATGCAGTGTGACTGCTGAGGTGTTACAGAAGCTCCAGACTGGTTGCTGCTCTGGTGTCTGAAATTCCTCTCGACTCATCAGGCTGTGTGGTTTAGGTCAGGGTGAGTTTGCTGTCAGTCAAGCTCAGTGATATCACAGCCATTAAAGCAGATATCGGTACTTCTGACTGTCAGCAGCATCCAAGTTCTCCTGGGAAATGAAATTTCTACAAAAAATTAGTCAGCAGTGGAGTCAGAGTCCTCTAAATGTTCTCTGGTAAATTCATTGCTGTGCTCTGACTTTTTCCATCACACTTTTTTCCTTCCACTCAACTTTCCAGCAGACTGCTTTAATGCAGCGTTCTGTGAGCAGCCAGTTTTTTTGTGGAGGGTTTTGGTGACAGTCAATGTTCAAGACAGCAGTGTTTCTCATGAACGTGTGAGCCATAAAATACAAATGTTTAACTTAAACCCTTTTATTGCTGCTAACTAAAATGCAAAATTATGCAAAATGAATTTTAATTGGATTGTTTTCTAATTGAATCAGATGTACCTGTAACCACAAAGCTTGTAATCCCTATAAAATTACATCTTTACAAAATGTATTGATTACATTGCTACAGTCTGTAATAAACGGAGGATTTGTTTAAATATCAAGGCAAAACTTGAGACAGTAGAGAAAAGAAATAGGAATGTTAGTCTTGTTTCATGGAATTTTAATTTAATTTGTCACTGATTGCAGATTTTTCTGTACATAAACATCACTAGGTTTAATAGTGTACACACAGACAGAGACATGTATTGGCAGAGACAGTGGTTAAAATACCGTTCAGAGGGGGGAAATCATTAAAATGAGTATCTGAAAACCACCATATGCTAATCAAACAAAAGGTGTCAGATTTTACACAAGAACAAATCTGCCCTAAAAATCTCCACTGACAAATTTTGTGCATAAAGCAACTGAGAAATGATCAAAACGTTTAAAAATTGAGCAATAAACAAATAGGGGCCAAACCTGTCACCTTAAATTTTGGATTTTATTATCATTTTTCTTTTACACAAAATGTTTCACAGTTCATTGTCACCATCACTCCACTCACCAGTTGCTTGGCAACCAACTCCTCCTTGGTACTGATGCAACCGCTCCTCTCTTTGAAATTACAGGCTCTTTTACAATATTTAGCGGAAACAAAACTAACAATAGAACCGTGTGGAAAAATTAGCTAATGAAGCCGATGCTGTGTGCACTGCTTACATCTGTTTCCTCTGTCAGAGAGATGCGACTAAATGATGGGATGTGTGCAGGTTAGCACTTTGGGTGGTTGTTTTATTGCTGTGGCTGGTCGTTTATCCAGATGTCGGGTTCAGAGATTCTGTATCTGGGGCTCCGGTCTGGGCTCGAGGAAGAACCAGGCTGTGCACAAGAAGATCTACAAGATAATTAAACATATGAGCCATTTAGAGGTGAGAGGAAGGGATCGTTTTTATGTCTCTTAGGCGTGTGCACCAGGGGGGTTTGGCTTAAATTGAACTGTCAAATTGAGAAGGAAGTGTTTCATGAGAAGCAACAGTCATGTCCTTCTAGCTTGGTTTAAGTCTGCCTCATTACAAAAGGTTGTAATTATTTAATGTCAGAGCAGTGTCATTAATTCAAGCAGTGACCTTAAATACGATTCCAGCTGCAGAAGCACCAGGAAAACCTTGTGGCACATCATGTCTTATCCTATGCTTTTAAAGTCAAATTTATCTTGTAAGTTTACCCAAACTAGCTGCATGCTGCCAGAGATTCTGCTTGGTTTGCTCACCAAGGTTTGGCCTCCTGCAGGGTGAGTCTCTCTGGCTGGAGTCGGAAGAGGCTGAAGTACTGTCTGTGGAGTTGGACTTGACAGAACGGACAGATGGAATCGCTGCTCTTAAAAACTTCTCTTTGGGCTTCGCAAGTACTCGAACTGATGCTGAATTGCTCCACTCTAAAAACAAATGAGAAAAAGATCCCAGACACAGTCAAGTTGGAATAAAGCCTTGCGTTTCTTTCAGGATTCCTATCCAGTTTTTAAAAAATTTATTTAAATGCATGGATTTCCAACGCTCGGAAAATGGGGGGAAAAAACTCACAGAATATGGAAAAATGTTTCATTATCAAAAAGTAAAAAATAAATAAATAAATAAATAATGGTGCCACATTTGTAAGGAGTGCATTTGTGGGTCAAACAATTGGGGCTGCATTTAAATGTCTAAAGTGAATTTCACACATTATTTGATCCGTAGACCTTAGGTCATGATCTTTAACCTGGGATGTTTACATGCAAAACAAAACTTTTATTTCTTTTTCCAATAAAAATAGGTAAAATAAATTACAAGTAGTGGCTTAAAGAATTTATATCCAGACATTACATGTGTAATCAGTTTGAAATAGTTTGTCTAAATTAGTACAGATGACCAAAAAATGTTGTGAAATGACCCACAGATTTACCTGTGTTTGATATCTTGCAGAAGATGGCAACATTGAGCTCCAACATTGTAGATGGCCAGAATTTGATCAAAATCCATCAGAAAAATGTGAATATTTGACTCGTACGAAATGTAAAATTTATAGGAACTCCGTTCAATGCAAGTAGCTACAAACCGATTCAGTCAAATAAAACCATAACCAGTGTATTATGTTGAGTGTCAGTACCAGAGTGCTCCTCAAGTCGAAATCGGCCAAAGCAAAGATGAATCCTCCACTGTTTTCTCACATTCTCCTTCATCAGACAGTGGAACAGGAAGACAAAAAGTCCTGGAAGAAATGGGTTTTGGAAAGTCTGTAATGAATCGTGATCCACAGTCAGCTGGTGAACAAAAGACACGGATTCAAGAGTTCACTGGAAAACTACAGCCACCATACTGCGTCCCTCAAAGCCTGCCTAGTCCAAGTCTGCACTTAGAGTGTAAACTTTGTCTACATAGATCACCCAGAAAAAGGACCTGTTTAAATAAACCATCAAACTTATTATGATACTCATGCTGATCGCTTTTTCCAACTCATCAGTAAAAGTTTTGAGCACATCTAGATTTTTCTCTGCTTAGTTATTTCTAATGAGGCCATTGAGCTAAAATTGACACATATTGACAACAACCCAAGTAATCTACAATGAAATCAAAGCAAATTAAGATGCGTGTAAAAAAAATAAAAGGACAGAGATAAATAATAAATATCTTCCCAATATTGGTGATTGAATACTTTGTGGGAGAAATCTTAAGACGTCTCTTGTATAGAGAATCTGGTTGATGGGAAGTATATTCATCCCATGTAATTCCATTTTTTGTTTGCCTATAACTTTACTGGTGGGCTGATTTGCTTAGATTTCTTTGAATGTGTTGGTTTCTTGTGTTGCCAGCATCTGGTGGGACTTTTATGTCAAAAACCTCATTAGACATGTAAACAAAGAGAAACACTGACATGTTCAAAAGCTGTTTTACCCAATGTCTGAATTTCTCTGCGCAGAACAGAACTCACCTTGCAGGGTGTTGAGTCCGGCGAACAGGTACAGCAGAACTACCCTTGCTGGTGCCCAGGTAAAGAAACCTACAGTCCATGTTAGCCCGAGTAAGAAGGTGAGACTGGCGGCTCCCTTCAGGTCCTGCAGCACCCCTCTCCGGGTCCCGGCCGGGCTGTTGAGCCGCATGCGGCGGATCTGAATCAGAACCACCACAAAGACCTAAAGAGAGATCCATAAAAACATTTTAAACTTACAGAAAAACGTGTGCAATTTCAAACAATAAAAGATCATTTTGGCTGTAGAACAGGCTGTATTATTGATATTTATTGTCATCTATTTAAATTATGAACTTTCTGATAGTTTTGTATGATTAAGGGCTTCTCAAAACAAACAGCTCTGCAATAATTATCTATTCTGAACACAACTGAAAATGTGTGCATAAAATGTGATATTTACCCCGATGTTGAAGAGAAAGATCAACCCAGCGTAGGCAACCACAGACGCATAATACGTCACATTATCTTGAAGCCAGCAGCTGTTGACAAATTGACAAAATGTTATGGTGCAAAGGACAGAGGAGGAAATACTGCAGACAATGTGCTTGTTTAGTCCCACAATTTACATATTAAATAAATAAGTATGAAAGGAAACGTAAACTTTTTCTGCAGCTGCAGTATGTAACTCAGACAGGTTCTTCAAAATAAATTAAACTGTGAAAGATAAGTAGATACCAGACTGATATCTTACAAGTTATCAGAGTTGTCCAAAGGTTGGAAAGTGTGCTCAGCGTTCCCAGAGAAACTACCGTATGCATCCCGATTCACAACGAGAACCACGATGCAGATCAGCAGAGGAATACCTGACGAAGAGTTAAAACCCCAACAAGTGACGTTTAAAACACCTTGCAATTAAATAGTAATTATTGAGCTACTAATTGGAATTAAGCTTTAGTTATAGCTTACCCCATCCCAGAGCACAAAACTTGAGGATATACGAAGGAACATAGACGTTGAAGACTTTAACCAGGGCAAAGTACATGTTGACAGCCTCTAATCCCATCCAGGTGAAAGATGCTAGGAGGAAGTAGTGCAGCAGGGAGGCTGCTGCCACACAGAGACCGTAAACACTCCAGGAGGACAACCAGGAGTTGACCAGAAACATCAGGTTCAATCCCAGCAGGGCCAAAGAGAGGTTTATGAGGATCTGAGAGGGGTAGTCTCTACGAAGCTTTCTAGAATGGAAATGAGTGTCAAAGAAGAAGAGGAGACAGATTAAAAATTACTTACAGCCCTGCAATTCAGACATTTATTAGACAATACAAATGTCCACTATGAAAGGGAAGATAAACTCACTGAAAAATGTAGAATAGTTTGAAAGTATGTTTTATTCATCTTGACACAACTTACTCAAAGGCCATGTACGTCAGAATGGTGATTCCTAAGAACAGGGAGGAGACGCCGCAGCCAACATACGTGATGATAGTCAGGATCTGTTCATGGAGCGGGTCCAGCTGAGTCCGGGACACGTCCTGGAGAACAGAGACATTTTCTTCACTAGATGCCTCTGGTTTCAGAGATCGTCGTCTATACAGTCATTTTTAAGCCTTGCCGTAGATTTTCAATTGGATTTGGGTCTTGAGTTTTACTGCTGCAGCTCTTCCTGTTTATCTCAGTTTATTGTGCTGCTGAAACTTGAACCTCTGTCCTAATTGTTCCCACCAGGTTTTTATTTTTTAGTCTTGATCTGCATTTAGATCCTGCTTCCTTTTCACCATTGAAAAAAAATGCTTTCCCCCAGCATGATGCTGCCACCACCTCAGCTGTGTCCAGGTTTACGCCTAGTGTTGGTTTTCGCCTTAGTGTTCTGTATGCAATTCGAATTGTACATTTCAGTTGTAAAAGCACAATAAAATAATAATGAGTGGGAAAACATCTGGCAGGCTCTGCTCAGTATCTGAACTAAATTATAAACTTTAGTTTGGCAGAAAACAAAAATGTGTCCATTTAGACACATCAATATTATTATTATTTTTTATTTATTTTTTTATTTATTTTTTGCTTGATTTGAAATTATTGTGTTTTAGTTTTTTGGGACTATGTTTTAAAATCATTTAAAAATCAAAAAATGTTCAAACATTGCTTTTCATTTTCCAAAATCTAAACTCTGAGTGCCCTCTGCTGCCCAAATCTTAGCTTAGCTGCCTTACTGGGTTTTTACAACCGCAAATATTACTACGATTTAACGCTTATAAGATTAAAATGTTAAAATCTTCACATTTTAGCTCTGCCTGTGGCATCTAAGAAACGGAGCTTTCTATAAATAAAAATCTCTGTAAAAAGGATTCGTACCAGAAGAACTCCAAAGTGTGTGAGATGATCGCAGAGACATGTGGTGTAATCAGGGGTGCTGTTATATTTTCGGCAGCCGTGATCATCCCAGCCCCCGTGTCCGTCTAGATGTCAACAGTATTTTTTTTAAATCAATTTCTGTTCAGTATGATGAAATTTTCCATTTGAAAAAAGACCTACTGTTTTTATTGAAGTTCCAGTACACACACTGCATTTGTCTGTCATGCTGGAAAGTATATATAAAAAAAAAACTCATGATAATCTCATTTATTCATTCCTGGAGGGTGTAACGTTGTTTTTAATATGTTTCTTCTACCGGGCCAGACTGCAGATGGTGGAGCATGACTTTAACTTCTTCATGAAGGTCTTTAATTGGTGAGCTGGCGTTGGACACACTGGCTGACACCACAAAGGTGCTGAGGAAAGGCTCCTGTTCATTCACCTGATACTGGAGACAATAAACATCAACCACTTTCCAAAAGGCCAGTTTGAACAAAATTATTGTTTCATTTTGCTAGTATTCAGTTTTCTGCATCGTGTACCTTAAAGAGTAGTGGGTTGGCGTAGAACTGAAACTGGATTCTAGGTTGGTTCTGGCTCAGGGCATTTTGTGGGAAGTTGTCCTGCAGGACAGACGGCAGGGAAATGAAAGCCACCGTGCCGTCTGACGGATACCTGTTAATAAAAATCTACATCACAGAAAAGAATATCCTTAACGTCACACTGCATTCATAAATATCTTCATATTTACTGCTTACTTTGAACAACTGGAGAATCAAGCATCAAAACTGTGATAGTGCTTTAAAGATTTAGAAAGCAAAGTCCTTATTAAATATGGACTTTGTTTTACAATATCTTTTCTTTATTGGATATGATATTCTGATGCATCAAATTCAATTATAGTAGACTGGACGTTAGATGGATGTAGAGTACTCTGTAGTTTAAGTTCATTCAAATGAATTAGGTTCTGCACATTTCTGTTTGGATGTAAAGATGTGATGAAGACCCTTCATAATTATAGTAATTATGAAGGCTCTTCATAATTATGAATTATGAATTATTGCAAAAACCTTTGGAAAAAATATATTAGGTCAGTTCAAAAGTGGGACTTTTTATGTGATTTAGAAGTCACAGATTGTTTGGATAGCTTTTCTTTATTTAATAAATAGAATATATTTTTTACAACATTACCACTTAGTGTGTTATAGAAAAAAATCCCATCATTGTTTCATATCATTGGATTATTTTTGTTCCACTAAAAACAGACTTATCTCTACCAGGCGTCTCAATAACTGAGACCTTCTGAATTCTCTGATCTGAAAGGTGTTTCACTACCTCAGGCTTGTTGCCGGACCAATCAGAAAGAACTCCAAAGCTCAGGCTGCTAAACTGTCCAGGAGCCACGTCCACCACTGAGAGAGCCACAGCTCGAGCACCAAGCGTGTAGGAGCCCTGGTAACCCACCATTTTGTCTCCCACCTCCTCTGTGAGGTTCAGAATGCTGCAGGTAATCACACATTTTACATTTAGACACGTTTGAGCGTAGCTGAGGTTTTACTTGAATGCTTAAATCTGCATCACGTCCATACGTGTTAGTAAACGCCCCCAGGTTGCTGCCTGATTCCAGTATGTTGGAAATGGCGTTGATCAGAGCTTGGCCAAGCTCTGGTGTGACAACGCTGACCCTGATGATGTCCTTCAGCTTGTTGAGGACTGTGACCAGCTCTTTGTAGATGAGACTGGACTGGTTTCTCATTAAGTCCATAATCATCTTCAACACGTCAAATGCATTTTCTGGAAATAAATGACGCAAGGCAATAATGTGACTGTCAGGACTTTGAAACACTTTAAAAACTGAACAAATTTGTATGTAGATCTGATAAAATAAAAAAACAGATGTATAGATAAAGTGCAGTTTTTAAGCATATTATTGTAATTAGTTTTAACGTTAACTGTATGATTTGAACTGAATGTTTTTAAACTCAGTACTGAATAGACTTTAAAAATGATATAATAGAAATGAAGAACACAAAAAGGAATGTAAATAAATGTTAACAGACCAGGAGTGACTTCAACATGATCCAGATCAGGGATAGTTTCCACCACTGGAGGGCAGTTTTCAAGGTTTGGCTCCATCCAGTGAGTCCACTGGGACAGTTTACTGTAAAAAATAAAAATAAATAAGACTTAAGACCCATTACCAATTAAAAACACAAGTAGAAAGAATAAATGTCAATGTTTTCCTCTATTTTCTGAGGATGTTTAGAATATGTTGTTTGTCTAAAGAAAGATATTGTTGTGATGTTATACTCATATTTCATCTACAGTCTGTTTCCAACTGCCCTAATATGAATGGGAATATAAAAATGGAAAGCTTAATCTGAAAATCATTTAACTTTCCCCTTTATTATCTTTTACAACAGAGCCATTAGTAAAATCTGTGGCACTGAGTCAACATAAAACATGGACAAAACAGAGCAAATATGTACAAATAGAGATAATCGATACTCAGATAGGCCTATACTTGTTGATGCATTAAATTAATGGTGGTAGTTGTTCAGCTAAATGAATGAGTCAATTATTTGATATCATCTGTAAATATCAGAAAGACAAACAGATGTTTCTGTGAGGCAGCACTCTGATGTTATTGATGCTCCAGTTTTGTGCTTCATTAAGATTTATATTGATGTTGCTGAAAGGATTTATGCTTCAAAATAACATCCAACTTTAACAACAACCAGCAGCATTTTTCAAATTAAGTTTTTTAGCTCATGATTCTTTTGAATTTGTGTATATTTTCAGTTTTCTCCTTCATCTAAAAGGTTGCTGATGTAAGTAATGCACAGGCAGCATGTGATCCGTTTTTAAAAACCACAGAAGCCCTTCATACTGAGAGGTCTCACCAAAGTCGGGTTGCAGAGTACTGAGGGTCTTTGGGGCATGGATATGTAGCATTTTGTCCTCCTGCAGTGTCAGGCCACATGAACAGGCCTTTTAGGGTCTGCTGGGCTTCAGCTGCACACTGAATAACCGCTAAGAGGGAAACACACATTTAGTAAGAGAGTTTCAGCTTTTCAGCTGGTTATGAGGGTGTGTGGACCTCAGCTGTACTTACATATGAGACATATCTTTATGTGGTGTACTGTTATGGAGAACAACCCATTGTCATAGGGATTCTGGAGACAGTCCCGTATTTGGTTTTCAATTTCCTGTTGGACTAAGTGCGTCAACACTTGGACCTGGAAAACGAAGCTCTCTCTGCAGACAGAAAGACGTAACAATGAGCTGCAAAGATCTAAAGAATTAACGTGAAAAGAAGAGCAGAATGTAAGTGCTTATAAAATGTTGTTTACACATTTTGAGATTTAAAAAAAGAAAAAAAAGATTTAAAACTGAATGGAAGTTATCTAATATGCACAAATAAAGATGTGCATTTTTATGCTGCACTTAACTTAGTTACATTTGAAACGTTTTGTTGCACATCGATTTTGAACAAGCAGTACCTCGAGACATCTGTCAACACCTGGTGAAAAATAAGAAAATAATGTTTAAAGAAAATACACAGCAGCTGTAACTGCTCAGACATTTATAATATGCAGTCAAAATTAAATGTTCGTTCTTAGCTTCTAATGATTCATTTGAACTGCTCTCTTTCTGTTATGAATCATAACACAACATTTTTAAAGATGACATTTTTGGACTTCCTGTACACATGAAATTAAAAATGATAAATATATACATTCAGCTATGATTCTCTCTAATGTCCTTTAACAAGTTGCTTCTCAAACACATTCAGTCTTTTAGCCACGATGACAAGTTGAATGTTTGGTGGAGTGAAGATGATGCTTTCAGACCTGAAAAAACATTTGAACTAACTACCAAGTATGGCAGTGGCAGCATCATAATGTGGGGCTATTTTCCTATTAGAGGTACTATTGCATTGCTCAAATTGGGTAAGATTATAAAAGCAAAGGACTTTCTTTTGCGTTTTAAGTCCAAACAGATTCATAATCCTGGCAGAATTATATTTAAGATCACTTAAACACAACCAAATAGTTTGTTTCTGACAATAAATTGGACAGGCGTCTCTAAAAACATAATAAAGAAATGTTAAGTATCATTAATCCATCTTTATTTACTTTTGAGTTTTTTTTAAATAATGTCAAAATGTGTTTGTAAACTTTTCAATAATCAGTGAATTTATTGGCATGATTGCAACCAAACCTGTCTTATGATTTCTGACCAGAAACATGTTGGTCAAATTAAATTGATTTCTTTAAGTGTAAACCTTGAATCATGAATCATATCAATCAAAAAAGTCTGTGTTAATTTTTTCAAGTTACTGATGGACTTTCACTAAATAAATAGGGATTTATTCATATCCCTACTTGTAAGTCTAATTTTGAATCTGTTTGGATTAGACATAATTTACAATTCAAACTTGTAAATCCATTTCTTGTTTTTTTTTTTTTTTATCCTTGTGCTTGTATGCTCTGTTATCAGTTCAACCCTAAACAAACAAATAAATCATTCAAGGCCATAAATTTATGATGATGACAAGTGGTTGTACATTTCTGCCTGGAACATGGACGTAAGCTTTGTTGTGTACGTTTGCAAACCAATAAAGAATTTTTATTTGGATTTTTCTGCAAATATTGGATTTAAACAGGTTTATTTACTTACTTGATTTGAGTCATGTTTCCTTTCAGGATGACGTCTGAAACAGTGAGAGATTTTATCTTATTTCTGACAGTTTCTATAAATGTTGTTAAACGATGTTGTGATAGTTTCCTCTCATAAAACACACCTTTCTGATTTGGGGAGCAGCTGCAGATCCAGCACCATCATTAAGTCATCAGGCAGACTCATGTTAAGCTGAAATGAAAAATGTAATATTCATCCTGGAGATTGATTTGTTTAAATAAGATTTTGGCTGTGTTTTTGAGACGTACCCAGTAGGGAAGGATCTGCTGTGGGTCACAGTTTCCCGTTATGGAGATGTTCACTTGGACTTCAAAGTAAAGTTCTGCTAAGAGGATTGAGACGAATCAGAAGCTTTCCTCAGGATGTAGAGAAAACAGAACTGCGGAAGGTGCTACCAGACCGACCAGAGATGTTTCCAGGGGTTCTGGTGACGGTGTTGGTTGTGGTTTCTTTGGTATCAGAAGTTGTGCTGATGGTCGATGCTTCCAGAGTTGTTAATTGGGTGAAAGCAGAGGACGTCATGGTGGTTTTAAAGGTGGAGGTTGTGACAAGAGAGGACGTTGTCATGACAACCTGAGGGCTGATTGTCGTCATGGAAAAGCGTTCTGGAAAGGAAGCCATTCATCAGATATTTTGAAGGTTTCTTGTATTATCCTGCTACTACTGAGATCTCTTTCCTACCAACAGGGGTGGTGTAGATGGAGCTGGCGTCAGCTAGGAGACACAGCAGACTGCTGGGGTCAGTGTAGGTGTTTGAAAGGTCAGTGCACATTTCTTTTTGAACAGCCGCAACATCCCACTTCGGGATGACGCTGATGTAAACAAGGCAGCGGAACCTGCAGGGCGGGAAGAGAGTTAACGGGGTTTCTACAGAGAACTGCAGGAAAGCCTGAAAAGAAATCTCAACATACTCTGCACTTCACATCTGTATCTTAAATTTCTTTAATTTGTGCCATTCACAGCCAAAAAATGACCCAAGTTATCTCAAATATGATCACAAGTGATGAGTGGCACTCTTAATATAATCGTTTTAGTTTAGTTTGAGGGTTAATTGTAAAGTATTTGCTTATATGTAACGGCCCTGGTCAAAATATTCTGATCAGTACAATCTGTACTGTTGCATAGCAATGTTTGTTTATTAAAAGTATTAAATAAACATGGATTTTACCTGGAAATATTTTCAGGAGCCCATGGCATCTGGAGCAGAAGAAACACACATTTTAGATTTTATTTTAAAAGTTTTGGTTATTTTTCTTGCATTTGTTGTATTACTGTAAAACTGACTTTACATTAGCCAGTATTAAGAGGGGATGCGGCGTATCAACTGACATATCACAAAAAGTCATTTGAAGTTAATGTGGATTGTTTTGTATTAAATTTGCTGTGTGTTTACCAGCCCGTCTTCATAAGGCGTTTTTATGTGTTCCTCTGTGTCAGATCTGCATGAGAGATCACAGAAACTTTGCTTACAGTTCAGTAGCTCCACTGTAAAGCAGAGTTTAAGTAGCATAAACCAAAGGAGTTTTATTGGAAGTATGTAATATATTGAAGTTGTAAACTCAGATAATTTTTTCCCTTACCTGATTACTTCAAACACAGACACTCTGTATAAATAGATTCCAGTCGGTAAAACGTGTCTGAGCTGCAGGATCAACAAACATAACCAAAAATATTGTTTTACCTTGTGGTTCTTTGCAGTTGAACAAGGAGAAAATATTCTAAAACAAACTACAAACCCCTTAAATTAATCTATGCAAACATCAGTCATGACTTCTGTATATTTCTGTTAGTGCATCTAATCTTTAACACATTTTAGCTTTAGCAAAACTATTGGTCACATCCTGAAAAGGTCAGTTCAGATTTGCTTGCATAATATGCAGTAAAACTTGTAAAGACAGAGATGATGTTTGCTCTCCTTACCCAGCGATGTGCGATGTCTCTGGCTGTGTAATGCTCAGTCGTGTTTTTGTCTTTGCTCATGATCACAAACTGGAGATTCACCTCATAAAAGGACCATTCTGCCAAAATATAAACCTCTAGTTAGGTAAAAAGAAATTTAGATGAAAACACACCTACACTTTATATACAGTATAGTTTCACACATAAAACTTTATATATGAGTGTAAATCCCAAAAGTTTACAAGCGTTTTGTTTAACATATCTCAGATTCATTTTATTACTTTTTTTTATGACAAACTTGTGTTTGTTCTGTATAAAAGTCAGGAAATCAGGTTACAAACTGTTAAACTAGCTGTTCCTCGTCTTTACTTTGAACCTCAGAGTCAGTGAGACAAACTAAAACCACACAAACTAAAACGGACGTCAACAACACTGTCCGCTGTTATTCCCAGCTCTGGTGAAGTGGCACCTTGCCCTGCAAAAGTATTCATACACCTTCACCTTTTTTTACAGTTTGTTACATTAAAAGAAGAAATTTCAATGTAAGAATTAACATATTTTTCTTTTACAATTGACAATCTGAAAAGGGTATCTTTCACTGCCTTTTTAACTCAGATACCACAAAATAAACTTTAAAAATCTCATGGAGTACTGTTAAATTCATATATTACTTATGGAGAGCAGAGTTGGGTAGTAACTAGTTACTTTTACTCAGTTACATTTACTTGACTAACACTTTGAGGGGGAAAAAAGTACTTTAGGAGCAATTTCACTATGCTGTACATTTTGCTTTTATTTGAGTAATTTTGTGATGAAATATTTCTGCTCTTATTTGAGTAAAATGTCTGGATTCTCGAACCACTGAATGAAAAACAAACATGTTTTAACCAAAACACAGACACACACCTGTAGTTTTTGTTAAAGTTTCACAAGTTTTTTTTATTGATAGAAACTGATTTGGAAAAAAACATATTTTGCCTGATTTTATTATTTTTTGTTACTTAAATGAATTATTGTCATTTTCATCCTTAAATTACCCAAATTTCCACTCAACTTTACATTTTGGTCCCTCTGATTATGTAATTTTTCAAAATTAAATTATTGATAATTTGATCAGTAACTCATTACATGAGTCAACTTTTTACCAAATACTTTTTTACCTTTACTTGAGTAATTTCTTAGATGGCTACTGTTTACTTTTATCTAAGTAAAAATATAGAAGTAGTTCAACGAGCTGCATCACTAATCTGACCTTTAGGGAGAGGATGAAGAAAACCTTCTAGTTAAAAATGTAAGAATGTATCACAAGGGAAGACGATAGGCTAGTTGCCAATTTGTGTTGACGGCGCTGTTATCATACGTTTCTGTACATTTTGTCATTGATTGTAGAAAGGCTTTTATATATGTTAAATAAAGCACATCTTGGCAGGCTTTAATCTGAGAGCAGTGGATATGAATCTAAAGGAGATGAGACCGGAAAAAGCTGTAAATGATTCTGACATAACAACCTATTCAGATTCAGTTAGGAGAAACAAACTCACCACATTGCAGGCTGGTGTCACAGATCGGGTCACAGTTCACCGTGTCCCAGTTGTCCCTCATCCACTTCACCAGATCCCCCTCTGTGCATCTCAGTAATGTCACTTCCTCTTTGCTTCGTTCTTTCCCCCATATTCGAAACAGGGAAATTTTCCCCAACATGCCGCTGTACCGAATGATCTCGACATTCCCATTGTTGATGGTGTGTCCGACCCCGAGTGTGAGAGATCCATTTGGGGCCAGCTGGCAGCACAGCGATGGAGGGATGTTTGTGTGAGCTGAAAGCAAAAACAGAGGAGAGCAATCAGAAAAGTTGCTCTCAGACAAAAACTGCAACAGTGAATCAGTTTTATCATTCAAAGCAAAGCAAAGCTCACCTGCTGTCATGTTAATTAGGCTCCCGTTAACGTAGAGGGCAGGCCTGTCCTTCGTATGGGACCAGGTGAGGCACAGGGTGTACCACTGCGACAGCTGGAGGTTGATGTCCTGACTGGTCCATTCCTGTCCAAACAGCCAAACCACCAAGCGCCTGTCCTTCCCCCCCAGCCCCAGCTCTGCATACTGAACCTCAGGATGACGATACATGAAGATTGTCCAAAATGAGGAACCCTTGACCAAGAGGTGATCAGTTAGTTATCATGAAGTCATGAGTCAGGATACTGTTTAAAAGAACAGTTTGCTCCTCTGCAGTACCTTCTTCAGCTTCATGTTAAGGCAGACGGTCAGTTCCTGCAGGGCGGGGATGAACACCTGAGGCTTTAGGATCCAGTGGTTCGATCCAGTCAGGTCAGCCACCTTCCCCCACAGGCTGAGCGACGTCTCTGACAGTCAGATGAAAATATGGTAAAAGTGAAACTTTTTGCATCCTTACACCTTGTCATGACATAAATGTCACCATAGACATTATAGGGATTCTTGACTTTTTGTAACAAAACATAGAAAACCTGTCTGTTTAGTCTGTTTGTTTGTGTACATCAGGTGTTTCTATCATTGAAGAGAGTCTTGTTATCATGATGTCTCTTTGTTCCCCACAGAGACTGACTCTTTGGATCTTGGTGTCTCAAGGTTGTAACTCTTTACTGCCTGATTCAAATGACTTATTTCCATTTCCACTCACTTGTTTGTCTCTTCCTACCTCATTTGATGACTAAATGACAGATTGTCTTTCAAGCCGACACGCAGTATGTTTGTCTGCTTTACGGATTTGTTGTTAAAACCAGAATCTCCACTGGAAGCTGAGGAAAGAAGAAGGTTTTGTCCCTTCGCATCATCATGTTCCAAGTAGGCAAAGGATGAGCAAATTGTGCCATCTGACTCTGTTTTTGATTGACTTTTTCTTTGTCCAAACAGATTCAGAGTTTAGATTTATGTCAATTGTATATTCATCTCTTCATTTATGTTCATTTCAAAGAGCACAGCCAATTTCTGTATGTTTTGTGATCAAAATAGTTTGTTAAACACTTTTTAGGTTAAGTTTTTAAGGTTTTAATACCTTGTCAGTTTCCAACTTAATGTTTAAATATGTGGAGTTTGGTTTTACTTTTTAGATCTTGAGTATGAGCAGCTTAGAATATTTTCCAAACGTTTTCCCTTTTCCATTTTTAAAGGACAAATATCTGTCAATTCTTAGTTCATGCTGACGTTTCACATTAATTAACAATTTGGCCAAAATGATTCAGGTCTAAATCTGTCAGATGTTTGAATCATCTTAGTTTTAACTGCATATTAAATTTACGCATCACATGTTCATGTTATTACTCAGTCTTTCTATGTTCTTTATCTTTTCACCAATTTATCCCAGTGTGATTCTAGAATCAGTGTGAATTAGCATCATCTCTCTACTGGACACCAGATCTAAAACATTCTAAAATGTTTGAAGAAAAAAATAACTAAATCTGCTGTTTTAGGATTTTTTTTACAAATTAAAATAAATATATCAACATTTCTTCTGTTCTGAAAATCAGAAAGCCAATTTCAACAATGTGTTGTTTCATTATTTGTGGAACCTGCAAATTGGACATTTTTTTACACTGAAATGTCCACAACTTTATTCCAAGAAAGTTTCAGACATTTGAGTCTGAAAATATTAACTTGTATATTGTCTTGTCATGAAAAATGTTTAGGAATTCTGACCATAAGCAGGAAAAATTTTTTGAGAGTTGCAGAAGTTACTACTGGAAAAAAAAATCCTAATATCAAATTCAACAAATAGGAAATTGCTTTTGTATTTAAGAAGTTCATATAATAAATAGTTATGCTACCCTGAGTTTACTTCTTAGATTGTCTTGCTTACCCAAGTCTTAATCTGATTAGTTTATAATCTGAATTGTTTGCATTGGTATTTGAGAAAAGCAAACAAATGCAAACAAAGTCGTGTATCTTCATAAATTTCTGTGCAGAAAAATAAGCAAAAAATGTACATGCAGAAACTTGAACAAACTAAAAGTCAGTAAATAATTTACTTGAACACACACAGAGTGTTCCCATGTTGGTTTCCAGAATCACCATTCACATTTCACATGTGTGTGTTTGCTTTGGATTATTATGGCATGTTTACAGCTGAAGCTGTAGCTTCCTCATGTGTTTGAGTTCAGCCTCGCAGACGGTGACCTCACTGAAAACGAACTGAAGTACTGAAACAGACTTCTATTTTTAGAGACGCCACAAACACTTTGCTATAATTGTGTTAGCTGAAAACATTCACTGTTGTAGCATAACTTGTGGTTATTGATCACATTTCCTACCTCGCTTTTCAGCCACGGCTTGGCTTCTCAGCAGAAATACAGTCAGGAACAAAGCCAGTTGTTTATGTAAAAAAATCATCTCAAATCTAAAAAAAAAAAATGAAGAAATTAATTGTAATTTAACAATAAACACTTTTAATACATACGGTAAAATATAGCTGTAGATATTTTCCCCCACTATCATAAAATAATTTAAATTGACTCTTATCAATCATCTCGAAATAAACCCAGGATATCACAGTTAAAAAAAAAAAAAAAACAGTTCTTACCGTTGAAACAAACCCCAGGACAGCAAAAGAAAACCTTTCACATGCGTTTTCCTTCAGGTTCTCAGCAGCTGCAGCAGCTGATGGAGGGGTGAAGCGGTGTCTGCCTCTGATTGGTTCAGGTTGCGTAATTATGACCACACAATAAAGAGAGAAGAGCAGCAGGCGTATGTTCTGTGTCTTTGTGTAGTTCAGAGAAACGTGAACTATTGTTAGATAAAAACCATAAATTGAAATGTCATTGGTTTCGACAAACACTCATCCTGTATACCTATATCAGTACACAGGTTTTAAGGCAGACAGATTTTTCATCAATTTATCTGGTATAGGTTTTATGGTGGGGATTCTAAGTGAGCAAATAAAATGCAAAGTTGGCAAATAAATTAACCCGACCACAAAAATATTATTTGTATATTTACTTTAGCCATGCTAATGGAGACATTGGAATAATGGAGACGACAGTGGATTTCACCGCTACTTTAGTCACATAGTAAACCTTAAAAAAGTTTCCTTTGCTTGTGTTACATTGACTTTAACATAAAACCAGCTGAAACACTGAAAGCAAATCCCAAACTTGTTTTGTAGACGCTTTATTGCATTTCACTTGAGCAACACATCAAGACATCTCAGTTTAAGATTAATTTATTGTTTACATAGAGTGAATAAAAGTTTAAAAAAACACTCTTATTTTTCTTTGACAAATAAATTTTTTGACATTGATTATTTGACACCAGGATGGTATTAATAAAATAAAAAAAGAAAACAAGTGATAGGCATTAAAGACAAACATATTGAACAAAGGAAATACTGTTTAAACTATGCTGATATATTGATCTCTATTGATTTCTGCAGGATAGTAAACCAAATAATTCACTCAAAGTAAACTTTAGTTTCATGCTGGTTGTGTGCTGAATGATAGGCATTCTTTATCAAAATAGAAACTCATCAATCCTTTTTAAAGAAAAACAGACATCATCAAACAATCACTGAGCACCAGAAGGTCTCAATGTCTTTCCATCCTTGAAAGCAAGAGAATTAGATAACAACAAGTTGAAATGTGGACTTTAGTCGTCGTGTAAAAACAGGCTGAGTGGTTAGGAAACAGAACATTGATTCTGTCCATCACTCCTTGTTGCCGCAGGTGGTGCAGAGGATGTCTTTTCCTTCGGCCACAAAGCGTTTGTTGGACAGACTGAGGGAACATTTCTTGCAGTTGAAGCAATATTCATGCCAGGAGTTTCCCTCAAAGTTCACAACATTCACACCTTTACCAAAACCTGTAAGGAGAGAAGAGCAGAGGCGAAGACTGAGCTTCTTCAACCTGTGTGTGTGTGTGTGTGTGTGTGTGTGTGTGTGTGTGTGTGTGTGTGTGTGTGTGTGTGTGTGTGTGTGTGTGTGTGTGTGTGTCTGTTGTCACAGTGGTGCAATATGCGAAAACTCTAAGCTTTCACATTTCTGTTAACACATCTCTTCTTCTCATGTGTGTTTAACACCTGAAGGAGTTTGGAATGGATTCCATCAATGTTAAAACCTCACTATAAGGGATTTCATAATCATTTGACAGTGCTTTTCAAAAACACCCATACTCCTTAAACTTTTGCGCATTTTGTCACCTTGTAGCCTCAAAGTTAGTAGATACTTTCCATCCAACATGACTGATCTTAAGCTGTTGCACAAAGAAAAACAGTCAAACATTTCAGTCACTTTTCAGATTCTTTTCAGATTTTTATCTGGAAAATTTTCAGAAAACCATGTTTTGTTTTTCGATCACATATAAATAATTATATATAAATCATTGTGCAAAAACAGCTGGCTGCAGTTTAGAAGTTCACCACTAGATGTCTCTAGTAGCCGCAGTGTCAAATCAGCTAGTGCTTTATAAATAAAATGTTTTGTTGTTATTAATATTAAAGTGGAACACCACTTTGTGTGAAACACTTCACTTCTTCTCAGGCATTCTTTTGTCTCTGTGACCAGATTTTGCTGGTTTGAGCAGCTTTAGGTTTAATCTCAGCTTTAATTTAAGGTTACCAGAACTATTTGTTTTTCTCTTGTTTTCTGGTTTCCTGGTAACCGGAAAGATTATTGATTTTAATATTAGGCAGAACAGATCAGATATTTGGTTTTGGAGCAACGTACACTAATCCAGGACAGAGAAAAGAATGTTTCTAATTGTCTCTGATTTTATAAGACCACAGAAGGTATCAGCCTTCAGATCTAATCTGTAAAAGCACATTTAAAAAGGTTAAATCTGATTCTGCTTCATCATGTCTAGCAGAAACAGTTTCAACTTCAGCCAACCTGTGATTGGGTTGTGGCAGCCGCTGCACTTCTTTGCCACTGAGCTCTTGTAGCAGTCGACGCAGAAGACCTGGTCCTGGTGGGTGGTGAAACTGGTCCCAGCCAGAGGCTTTGAGCAGGAGCTGCACACAAAGCAGTGGCTGTGCCATGGCTGCTCTTGGTAGTTCACTCCCCCGGACGTTATCGGCTGCAAACGAAAAGCAACTTCAGTGTCACGATCATATTAAGGGGATAATTCAGGCCGATCAGATTCAAAAACAAAAAGTTTCCTCTATTTTAAATAAATTACCTTTTTGCAGCTGACGCAGGTCTTGGCAAACTTCTCATCGTAGCAGGGGTTGCAGTAAACATCATCTCCTTTAGAGAGGAAACTCTGCGATGCGATGGGTCGTTTGCAGCTGCAGCAGGTGAAACATTCGTCGTGCCACGAGTTTCCTTTGTATGCCACGCTCTCAATGCCTTTAGGAGATTAGGAGAAATGTCACATTCTGGTCCAAATGAACTAGAGCAGGAGTGTCCTGTATGCTTATGTGGGTTTCTGCTCCAATTAAGCTAATTTAAATGACTACAGTAGTTGGTCATTTAACTAATGGTCAAGGGGACTGATGACCTGTGGGGTTCTACACAATTTTCATAAAATAATTTATCTTATTTCCAGACTCAAGATTTCAAAGTTGTCCATTTTAAAGTGTAATAGTAAAATATATAATATATTTATGTCAGGTATTTTCACAACTTCACCTATGAAGATAGGAAAAAGTTGAGTCTAGCAGAAAAAAACAGAAGAAAAACCACAAGGAGGGTTAGAAAGATAGTGAGAAAGGAAGGAGACGTGGCAAAAAGAAAGGAGAGAAGGAGGGATGGAATGACAAAGTGAAAGAGGAAATAAGGGAAAGGTACAAGGAAGAAGCAGATGAAAGAAAGAATGACACAAGGAAGAAAAAGAAAGGTAATAAATATATTTTGTTCTCTTTACAAGCTTAAAGAGAACAAAGAAGAAAAGACTCAAGGAAGTAATGTGACAGAAGAAAATGGGGAAAGAAGGATACCAGAAAAGAAGAAAAAAACATTTACATTTAAAAAACAAATATACTTTTTAAATGTCCACACTGAAAAGCAGCAGAAGTCTCAGACACAGTGATGTGATCCGTTTTAGCGAATCATATTTTGAATTATGATTGGTCATACCAGCCGGTATGGGTTTATAGCAGCTGTGGCAGCGCGGAGCAGCATCTCTGGAGCAGCACTTCACACACATGATGCGCTCATCCTTGGTGTTGAACGGCTCCTTGGCCAGAGGCTTGTAACACTTTGTGCAGCGGAAACACTCCTCATGCCAGTGACGCCCTTTGTGGCTCAGCTCCTGATGGAGAAAAACGGGAGTTTCTCAAGCGGTACATGAAGAAGTACAAACCCAAACCGGTTCAAATCCATCTGGAGAACACACCTTTGTCTCCACTGAGATGGGTCTGTGGCATTCTGCACATGAGTTGGCGCAGAACTTTGTGTGACAGCGAACACACACCGGCTTCCCCTCGCTTCGGACAAACCGCTTCCCGCCCAGGTCCTCCCGGCAGTAGAAACAGTGGGAGCTGTCTGCCATCGTCAGGCCTGAAGCAGGAAGAGCAACAAAATACAATGTCATTTTCTATTGACATCAAATCAGCTTTTTAAAACTATTCCAGATACCTAATTATTGTGTGTAAAACACATTACTAACTTTAGAATAACAGTTCATGTCTGTGTCTTCATCTGTGATGCTTGAATTGCTTTTGTAAATATGTATTTTGCTTTTTAATCATCACAGCTCCATCTGTTCCCAGCCTTGTATAAGGACAATCCTTTCCCAAAATGTCCACACAGAGGCGCTGTTGGTAGACTTTATAGGATACATTTTGTTACTTATACGACACTCATGCATTACCACAGAGAAAGATTTGTATGCGCAACTCTTTTGCGTCAGGCAGCTTAGATGTGCGGCTGGTTTGTGTTTCAGGTAACTTATCTTTGAAGACGCTCATAAAAAGTGGACATAAAATGTTATGGTTCACATGCGTGTCACAGAGAAGCAAACGGTTCACACCCTCTGATCAGATAAAGACTCACTGAGCGGAAAAAGTTGAACTAATAAATCATTCATCATACAGATGAAAAATATCTTGCAGCAGTCAAAAGT